GTGTTGCGCTCTCTCGCCGATCTCCCATAACCACATAATTTTTGTTTTTTTTTTCTATAATTGATTTTATACCATAATCCATAACTGATGTAACCTAAAACCATTGGCCAACAAAATATTTAGTTAATTAGTTTGCATGACTGATGGTAAAGCTGGATTTTTCATGAATTCGCCTTTGTGATTTTTTTTTTTTTTTTTTTTGAACAACCGTCTACGTGATTATACAAATGTCGAGACTTAACATGTAATAATACAAAAACATCGAATGAATAGTAAAAGAAATATAATCCGGCTAACTTCAACTATTTTTTTTACTAGCATTTAGAGTACCCAAAAATTAGATCGATCATAATTAATTCACCTATATACTAACTTTTTTAGATGCAGCTATATATATACCGTACTAAATTTGGTGTGCACATGTTCGTCAACCACCGCTTCTGTTTTAACCACTTTCGAAGTTACCTATATGCTGTGCGATTACAAGTTTACACATAAACAAATCTACCAAATTAATACCCCCTAAAGTATACGTTCTAATAACTAGTCAAAAGTGTCAAACGCTTAATTAAATTCCAGTTGAAATGGCATCCAAAATCTATAGAGCACAACACTTAGGGTTTGGATGATCTATCATCTATTAAAAGCTTTAATTATTTAATCTTTAGGGTGTAGTTATTTCATTGATAAAATACATGGCAGGTGAAAAAAAAAAGTAAAATGCTGAAAAATTAAATAATTAGTAAAATGCTGAAAAATTCAATAATTTTAATAGAATACTCCTCAGAAACTTTGTTTTTTCTTTTGTCAATTTTCGAAAAGATAAATGAATTTTGTTTCTTTTCTAATGGAAATAGTGATACTACTACAAAATTTGGTACGTTTGGTGGGGACCACGTAATTTACTTTATGAGGTTGTGTGTACTTGATCGCTTTGTACTCACGTGATGCGTTGTTAATGGGACTTGTATTAATTCTTCAAATGAGTGTATAGTATGTGTTTTTTATTTTCTAATCTTCTAATTTTGCTAATTAAGAACGCTCTTAGGCATAGGGCCAAGAATATGCTATAGTAAGTTGATATTTAAAAAATATAAACACAAGATAGATTTTGAATCTGTCCCCGGTTTGATATTTCATATCCAACATGCGCATTACCACTCAAAAAACACAATTATGCTTCAGCTTCACTTTAAATAATTATTATAGTAGAGTTTGACCCGCGCCTTGCACGGGATGATATTTTCTCAATTTGATTTTATTAAAAGATGTCTATTTACATACAATTTTAGGAACATAGAGTGTTAGACAATTAAAAAAATGTCAATTTACATTAGACGAAATTTTGAGTGATGCATATTTTTTTAGCCTGGTTTGATTTTTGTCATCGTTTACAGTGTGGTAATCTAACATTTGCTTTAACAACAGTTTCTCCCTTTCCGAACCCACATATATATTAAATTTTAATACATTTAAAATAATTTTATATTTTGATAAATATAAAATGGCATATATATTTTATGTTTTTATCAATTTTAAATAACTAAAATAATTTAACTTATATGATAAGTTATTAGAATTTATTACGTTTAAAATTTTGATCAAACCAAAATATTAAAAAATACGATTTAATTATTTAATTCAATTAAAGAATCAAATTAAATCGAATAAAAGAAATTTTAAAGATTTCCAAACATGGTAAATTTTTCTTTCCTATTTGTGATTATGGTTGATCATTATTTGGATCCTATTTTATAATAGGTTTTTGAACTATTATCCCAAAATATAATCATGTGGGACATTTAACATTTTTAGAGATTTGCTTCATTTTTAAAAATTCAAACCATAGCATATGTAAAAAAAACTAATTTTCTTTTTTTAAATATTTTGATGTGATGATATAATTTATTCTTGAAAGTAAAGCTAAACAAAAATGATAGATGAATAAATTAATTTTTAAACAATTAATATAATACAATTGAATAAAACTTTCCATATTTTACTGATTGATTGACTAATAAATAAATTTTCGTCATTACCAAATAAGGAAACTGAAAGAAAATAATTTTCATTAATAATTATTTTTCTGACTAAATTAATCATATATATTTCATTCTCTAACCAAATATGAATGGCATAACATGTAATTAGTCTAGTAATGTTTGTCTTAATTAAAACTAACCTTGAAAGTGAACCTGGTGTTGACACATCAGCATGACATTTCTGTTAATAACACATGAGACAAAGGTTTATTTTATAGTGTTTTCTCTTTTAATATATCATGGATTTCACGTTATACTTTTTCTTCAAATCACTTTATGAGTACAGGGAGAATTCTGAGATATAACTACGTGAGCACGAAGAAGATCAAATCGAACTAAATGTCCAACAATTTGTTCATTTTTACTTGTAAATAACAGTAAATATATAGAACCATTAATGTTTTTTTTTTGTAAAAAGATAAGAACCATTCATGTTGGTATTTATTTAGTTGACGTTCAGAAGGTTTTCTAGAGAGTACGAAAATAAATACGTTTAGAGTTAATTAAATAGATACGCGTGGAGTTTATCAATGTGTTATGTGTCATTTTGATTGTAGTGGACCTTCGGTTTATTTTTGTTTTTCTTTTCTTTTGACAAAAGACCTTAAGGTTTATTGAAATTTATTCTTGATACGTGTATGATTTGCACGATGAGTCGAACATTACATATACGCGCGCATACTTAAGTGATATATTTGATTTCTGAATAAAAAGATGACTAAAGTCTAAAACCATCCAAATATCCGAAGAGGTACATTTTGTCTTCTGTACCTACTCTTGTTGTCATCTAACTTTTTTTATTTCAAGAAATAAAAAATCAATTTCTCCAGCCCCACTTATACAAATCAATAGTACGTGTTTAAGTATGTATGATTCATAGAAAAATAACCAAATGCAAACTTATGATAGATTCCATGCATATTTATAATATATTAATGGAAATAGACGGGAATACTGCCATATTTCATAATTAAATCGATATTTCTCGTTACAATCACTCTAAGAGACTTTTAGCGTTTAGAGTGATTGACACGATTTTTCTTTTTCGTACAATTTGTTTAGGTCAGTCATTAGAACATTTCAAAATGTTTGATTTAAGACCCCTCGAAATGTCATAACAAATAAAAGGGAAACGTGCATCTTTGATTACACAAATCATATTCTTCAAAAAAGTAATAGTTCGATTTAAAAAGGAAAAGAAAGTAATGGATCGACAAATATATGTAACCTAAGAATCATACTTTGCCTAAACTACGAATATCGGCAACACTAAGATGCCTATTGCCCACCAATTAAAACCATCGCCTTTTGTCTAACTCCACACCTTATTCCAGAACTCAAAATTTATCATTTTACCTACTTTTTTAAAAAAGAATGGAAACCGAGTTTTAAATCGAAATGGTCAGCTGACTCCAAAAAAAATAAAAGAAATCGAAGTGGTCAATTTTTTTTTTGTTAAAGAGAAATCGAAGTGGTCAATTTTATCTTTCATTTCGACCAACTAATTTTAAAATAAAATATATCGACCAACTAAAATATGAGACAAGAAAACATCTAAATATGAACATGGCGCAAAGTAATGGATTTATGCCGGTAAATCTATTACGTGCAATTTAATAAATCAAAAGATGATTTCAGATTAGCAAAGGTATGTGAAATGATATATTTGATAGAAAAATGCATTCACATGTATATAGCTCGACATGGACCAATAATTTAATATAAAACAATAGACAAAAAAGCTTGTATATCACACATATATATATATATATATGCATATATTCTTCTTTTTTCTGTCATTTTGAACTGTAGTAGATGAAGTTAAATTTAGGTGCTCAAAGGACCACCCAAAGGCTATGACCATTGGGCAAATATTTCGGAGTCTACAACTAAAATTCTATATTATGTTTGTTTTCAATTTGATCAAACATTTATTCCGTATTTAATTACAGTTTTTCTTTTGTGGATTACAGTTCGGAATAAACGCCAAAGTCATGGATACGCCTAAAATGTGGTTGCATGATGGACCTAACTCACAGAACAAGCAAACATGTAACAAATGGAATAAGAGCTAAAAAAATGACTAAACAAAAAGAAGCACGTAACTCTGTATATTTATAATTCTTGTAACATTTTAAAATGTGACTCCATTCCCCGAAAAACATATCTAACCCCATAATATAAGTAACCAAAAAGTTAACTAAATATACTTACCACTTCGATCGATTTTCTTTATTCCACATACTAGTTTTTTTTTTTTCAACACAGGCTTATGCTACATAGTACATACTAGTTGGTCACTTGATTCATGATTGTACAGTTTTTTTTATCTATTACCATAATTTTGTTTTCAACATCTATCTTCTGTTATAATTTTAAAACCTAAATGAATATTATGATTATTCATGAAATATCAATATTACATGAGATATTTTCAAGAAAAATCCATATCCTAAAAACAGGTATAAAGAAAATTATTTTATCAAGAAGGCATGCTAAAAAAAGAAAAGAAATATCCAGAGGGCGTAATTGACTGGGCATGTGCACTGCAACGTGACCGGACTCCAAGTCCGAATTCAAACCGATTAATTTTAAAATTTAGAAAGCGACATCTGGAAGTTTTCAAAAACAAAAATATTTTTAGAAATCCAAAAGGATAATAAAACCAGAAAAAAGCTAAAAATTAAAATAAACCAAAAAAATAAAAGCGAGGGATCCGTGATTCCAAAGGATTCGCTCTCCCACGCGCCTAACTATCCGTCACATCCCACGCGTTTTTCTCTTTACATTTTCCCTCCTTCACATTCTCTCTCTCTCTCTCTTTTCTCTTACTATAAAGCCTCGTGTTCCCTTCTTCCCATTCTGCACCTCTATCTCCCACTAATTTCGATACTGCCACTGAGAAAATAAAAAAAAAATTCATTCACCGAACAAAAAAGAAAGCGTAGCTGTCAAGCTATGGAGGAGGAGTTGTTGATTAACGACGAGAGGCTAACTCGGAGTGAGTCGTCCGAGAGAAAGCGAGTTAGGGACGATTCCGACGACGCGGTTGTTGACTCACCGGACGTGAAGAGGCTGAGAGATGATTTATTCGATGTTCTCGATGACTCGGATCCTGAACCGGTGAGTCAGGATCTCGACTCGGTTATGAAGAGCTTCGAGGACGAGTTGTCTGCTGCTTCTCCGACGGTCACCACGGCGGCGCAAGACTCCGGAGAAACTCAGCCGGATCTCGGTTATCTATTTGAGGCTTCCGATGATGAGCTTGGCTTGCCACCGCCTCCATCGGTTTCTCCGATTCCCATCGCGAAGGAGGAGGAAACGACGGATTTGGTTCGAGCATCGTCGGATTCTTCCGGAATCGATGAGCTATGGGGGTTTGAGGATCACGTGTCGAATTACGATCCTTTAGATTTGGGCTCCGGCGTCGTAGAAGGTGGAGATTACGTTACCGTTGAAGGAATTTTCGAATTTCCCGACGATTGTTTTGATTCCGGCGATCTATTTTCATGGCGGTCAGAGTTTTTACCGGCGGAATAAACAGCAAACTTTTCGGAGTTTTTTTTTCTTAGGTGGGAATTTAGGAAACGGTGCCGTTTTTGTAAAGCGTTTGGCCTGCCTGCCGTTTTTTTTACCGTATCATGTATGGTAGAAAGGCTAATATCTATTAATTATAATTACTAGGATTAGGAAAGTTACATATTTTGTTAATTTGCCAGATTTAGTATAAGCGAATTCGTTTGTTTGTTCTTCCCAGATCTTTAACCACCTTATCTCTGCTGCATACTTTTTGTGGAAAAAAATTTAGTATAAAAAAAAAAAATATTTTCTCAGTTCGTGATTATGCTTTGTTCTTTCATGTTCACCTTTTATTTTCCCAGTTCATATAAAACGCAGAGTAAGGTCTGGTTTCTTTTTCTGACAGAGGCAAAAAGAGGGCCATGAAACATGTGGTTTAGCCCAAAAGGCCCAAAACAAACATAGTTGATGATACGATAGTTGATACTGACTGTGGTTTATAGTTAGCGGGATACAGTGGCTCTCATGATCACATGACATACGTCCTTGTATTTTCTGTCTTTATTATTGTTATTTTTGTTTTTTAGTAACTTTTTCCATCTCATTGTTTATGCATACAATTTAGTAAGAAGTGTTGATTGTTGTTTCGTGTCGGTTCAATCAAAGCTAGCAATGAGAATATGAAGATTGATTGTGTTAGTTTTAGAAAATCATAGATTTCAGTTTCAGATTTCAGCACATTTTGTCTGAGCACATCTTCCGCTGATTCACTTCCCTTGAAATCAAATATATTATTGTTTCTTTTTCACATTTGTTTATAGTTCTATATATAATAATAAAAAATACCGCCAAATTCATGATATATATATATGTTATAAATAATATTCAAATTTATTTTCTCAGGGGAATCATATTCTAATCAAATTCAACATCATTATGAATTTTGTGCCATCGTACTATATAGAGAAATTTAGTTACACAATATATGTACAAGATTCAAGCTCGATGCGGTTTGGATGGATGATGAAAACGGTCATGACAATTTAGATTTCACGGTCTCCATTACTAAACCCAAAAGAGGGAAAAATTGACTTTAGGTATATAGTTCATTGTTTTCTTTTTCAAGTTATTCTATTGCAAGGTAAATATCGTCTTTTTCTTCGTTATTTTTGATTGATTTTAAAATGTAACTCAGCATATACTAGAATGTAATTTTTTTTTCAGATAAAAATCGTGATATCAACATCAAAATAGCTATAGAATATGGAGTTGTGCCCCGCTTGGTGGAATTTCCCAAGAGTGATTGGTTCCCGAGCTTCAGGTTAAAAAAAAAATGTGAACATTATGTTGATTAGTTTAATTTCTAATTTTGATTTTTCATGATTTTTCCTAGTTTGAGGCGGCTTGAGCTCTAACAAACGTAGTTTCATCTGGAAATTTGGGATCATATCATCAGGACGCTGTTCCAATCTTTGTCAAGCTTCTTGATTCCCCTTCCTATAGTGTCCGTTATTAGATATTATCATTCCGTTAATATGAAATGCTTTCATACATAATGATGACTCGAAATTATAATGTCACACCTAACTTGCATGCTATATAGGCATTGGGTAATGTTGCTGGTGCTTTAACACAACTCTGTGATTTTGTACTTAGGAATGGAGCATTGACGAAACTATTGAGCTAGCTGAATAGTGTTTCCAGTGGCGAATGCAGTAAGAAGGAAGTGACACCGTATAAATTTGATAAAATGTTAAATTGTAAAGGAAATCACTATAAAATCTCTAGCTCAGTTGGTAAAGTCAGCTTAATGAACCCCTATAACTTGTGTTCGATCCTCATCTTGACACCTGTTACATTTTTATTTTTTAAATTGACATTTTGAACTAAATCCTGGATTCGCCACTGAGTGCTTCTATTGTGATGCTTAGAAATCTCTCTCTCTCTCTCATCAAATTCAACATCATAATGAATTTTGTGTCATCATACTTCATAACTTTAGTTCCACAAAATCTGCACAAGATTCAAACTCGATGCGGTTTGGGTGGATGAAAACGGTCATGACAATTTAGATTTCACTGTCTTTATTACTAGACCCAAAAGAGGGAAAAGTGACTTGAGTTATTGTTCATTGTTTCATTTTTTTTTCAAGTTATTTTATTGCATATTGATAATCAATTCACAATATAAACCTATAATTTCCAATATCAAGAGCCGTTTTAGTTACATTTCCCTTGTTAGCGCAACGCGGGTGCGCTGGGGTACATATGTGCAATGGTGATTGCCTACAAGGAGTTGTTCAGAACTGGAAACCATATCTACTATGGTCCAACCATGGTAGATATTGGAGCAGTCATGTATATAGAAAACGAACTTGTCACCCTCTTTAGATTGAGAAACATGCTTAAGGTTGGGGTGAATGGTATTGTAGCTATCTCTTTAGCCATAATGTATATGATAACAGATGTTAAGGAAGTCGAGAAAAGCATTAGGACTTCCTCTGAGCCTAAGAGTCTCCTGCAAGACTTCATGATATTAGATATTGATGAGCAAGATGAGAAAGAGCTAGAGAAACAGAATATAAGCTAAATAGATGGGAAGAGGAAGGAGAGAGACTGTGAAGGGGAAGAGGAAGAGGAAAAAGAACCGGAAGATACGACAATGTTTAGTTAATTAACAAGGAGACACATCTGGTTCAAATTTGCAGAGTGACCCCATGGCCATAGAATGAATTTGATCCTCTACACGATCTAACAATTTTTTTTTGGTCTTTCCGTTTCATTTTAAGATTCTTCTCATATTTGGATTGTCTCTATTTTCTTTATGTATGAGAGATTGTTTTCTTCTTTCTGATCAAAATCGATCACTTTCTAAGGATGATTAACAATCCTCACTATTTATATCGGATGACGATTCTTCCTGCAGTATCGCTTCTCGCTCCAGTAATGGGGTCCGAGATCACTTGCACCAAACTCTTGCATGTGGTAATAACTGCATCCAAAGACAGGCACTCTCTCTCTCTCTCTCTCTCTCTCTCTCTCTCTCTCTCTCTCTCTCTCTCTCTCTCTCTCTCTCTCTCTCTCTCTTAGCAGGCTCAATTCATTAGTCTGAATTTCTAATTAGAAAAACCAATATCTATGTGTCTTCTCTTATCAGAGTTCCAAACATCAAATTTAACGTGGCCAAGATGATGCAATCTCTCATTCCAATAGTCGACCAGTCGGTTAGTCAAATTTTAACGTGCCTTGTGATGTTACATTGTCCTCGTTTAGGAATCTTAACTTATTTTTTGGCCTGTGAAAGGTTGTGGAGAATATGATACGGCCATGCGTGGTTGAGCTAAGTGAAGATCCAAATGTCGATGTTCGTTTTTTTCGCAAATCAAGCTCTCCAATCTATTGACAGTGCCATGATGTCTAGCTAAAAAACTTGATACTTGTGCATGAAGTTTTGTAACGATACTTATCTTAAAACACTTTTGTGTGTTTCTTTGGTATAGTAGAAAGCCAAACACGACAAGTTGGGAGAGGAAGTAAAAATTTGATACATACCATCCCAATGTCAAAATTAAGAGAGCATAGACATAGCTGGACCAGCTTCTTGCATTTGACTACACAAATGATCAAAAACTTGTTTAGGTTAGATTCAAGTAAGTTCAGAGAGATCCCTCATATCTTGTCAGTCGCTTCTACATTGGCTCCCAAAAAAATCAGTAAGTTCCACTGGTGCTGTTGTTTTTATCATATATTGAAATAGTTACATGACATTTTGATGCCTAAGTATTTTCATGTATAAGTATAACTGAATTGCTTGTAAACTCTTTTCTCATATTGTAGTTCTTGGACTTTCTTATGACCATCCTTTATTATAGTGTGAAAGTTCTTGAAAGATATGTTACGCCTTCATATGGAATTGAAAGATCCCTTTCCTATAAAGATGCGAAAAAAGGGTTATGCGGATGAGGATCCTAAGGTGTTAGCTCATTTCAGGGATCTTCTGGACAAATTTTCATACTTATTGATCCTGAAAAGAGACTTATAGTGTCACATGCGTTAGCTCACCCATTCATCACAGGCAAGTGAATCCTATAAATGCTCTTGTGATTTCCTATGATACTGTACATGTACATTGTTACACATGTTCATTTTGTGAATTGAGATTAGTGGGAGGACTAATTACATCTCGAAGAAAAGATTGTGAAAGTTTTGGATCTTTGCTTTGTAATTAAACAGCTCTTTTGATTCGTTTTCCTACCAAATAGAAGTAAATGCCTCTCTTTATCATTATAAATAAAATATTTTATGCTGTGGAAATTACGTGAAGATGAGTTGTATACAAGTCTAAGAAGCTTTTAATTTTGTTTTGCTGTTTAATATGTTGTCACACCTAATAAAGAGGAAATCTTGTGTTTTCTCACGTGCAAAAGCGTTCATAATTCCTTTAATAATTTCCGATATCAAGATTCCTCTTGTAATCAGTGTTCCGTTTATACTCCATCTCTTTCAGAATGTATGATGTTTTAGTTTTTCTTCTTGTTTTATAATATATGATGTTTTAGAGTTTTTAAGGTACTTTTGTCAATTAATGCTAACAAATTACAAATTTCAATGACTATTAATTAAAAGTAATTGGATTCTTGAATTCTATTGGTTAATATTTAGTAAAAAGTGGTTTATGTAAGAGAAAGATGCATTAACTGTTTTACAATAAATGTTTCTTAATTTGTGTAAAATTTCTAAAACATCATACATTCTGAAACAGAGGGAGTAGTTTTTAGAAGATACATACATGATTACGATGGTTCACATCACACTGTAAATAAAGATTGCAATTTATACGAGAACATCTGATGCGAAATATGCAATACCCGAATCTTTCATGCATTTGATGTTTCGAGTTTGCTACACATGATGTAGAGAAATATGTTTTGAGTAATAAATATTTCCAAGTTTTTCTAACAACTTTTCTCTAAGTATATAGTATATGAGAAGAGTAATTCACAAGATCTTCTAATAAATTTTCTTTAGGTAGACATAAAAAACTAGAATAAAAGAAAGAGTAACACCCACAAGATTTGTTTCTAACTACTTGTGTTTAAGTAGATATAAAGAAATACGAAAAGTCCAAAGAGTAATACCACATTCAAATTCTTTTTCAAGAGAATCATATTCTAATCAAATTCAACATCATTATGGATTTTGTGTCATCGTACTTCATAACTTTAGAGTTGAACAAAAACTGCACAAGATTCAAACTCGATGTGGTAAGGATGGATGAAAACGGTCATGGCAATTTGGATTTCACGGTCTCTATTACTAGATCCAAAAGAGGTAAAAAAGTGACTTGACTTATGATTCATTGTTTTCTTTTTCAAGTTATTTTATTGCTTATTGATCATCAATTCACAATACATTTCCCTTGTGTTTATTTTACAACTTTTGTAATCAGTTTTCCGACAAACGCTTCAAAATGAGGGGAAATTTTTTGAGACACCAATCTTCATGTGTGTTTATTCCCATTAACTATATTCCCATTAGTTCGAAGAGTGGGAATAAGCACAAATGAAGATTTGTGTCTGCAATTTTCGAAGCGTTTGTCAAAACATCTTCTTATGCATTACTCTCAATCCACAAACAAGCTTTTGTTAATCCTTCAAGGGACAATCTTTCAACGGACCTCCCTCCTGTCATTCTCATTCACAAACATGCATTTGAAACTCTTTCGACAGAACTCCAACATAGCTTCTCTCTTTCCCGTAAGTTTGGAAAATATCAATTGGAATTGCAATGAAAGAGAAGCAAGAAATGATGAAAGAACGAAAACAATTTCAAATTAAAAAGCGGGGTTTTATGCAATTTAATGATAAACTTAAAATTTGTCATATATAATTGGAAGATAGATAAACCAATTGGAGCATACAAGTATAAGCAAACAAACAGTTGTGTTGTTTGGATAGTTATGGTCAAGATAATGAACCAATTAGCATCCAACATATCATCTGTTAATTGCATAAAAATTGAGCTCCAAAACAGCAACGTTATCTTCCCAATCGAAGATAACCGAAAGATTCTCATGGGATGGACCTGCTCGTTGATTACATCCATGCGTATGAGATGTGCAATTTGAGCTGCCTCCACAACCCATGCGTCAGTTTGAGCTGGCATTCACCTCCACACCATCATTGATTGGACCGTCCATTGTTGATGTGTTTAAGCGATTTCCTGAAACTGAAATCATTGGAACAAATGAAGGTCCTGAAGCGATCTTCGTGCATTTGATGTTTTGAGTTTGCTACACGTGATGGCGGGTTCAGATGTAGAGAAATATGTTTTGAGTATTAAATAGTAATCTCCAAGAGTTTCTAACAATTTTTCACAAGAATTTGTAATAATTTTTCTCAAGGTAGACATTAAAAAAAAAACTAAAATAAAGAAAGATTTGTTTCTAACCACTTGTGTTTAAGTAGATATAAAGAAATACATAAAGTCCAAAACGTTTACCCATTTTTTGCTTAATCAATCACCATTTGGTGGTCTAAACATAATTACTTAATCCTTGCGCACGATTTTCAACAGCGGTCATTGGTTTTTTATTGTTTCCATTTATTTTTCTTCACTCGGGTCGTTTTTTTCCAACAAAGGAAAACTTCGTTGCTAAGAAGTCGTCGTACGTCGTAACGCGTCTTCTCTTCTTCGCTCTTTTATAACTTTCCATTCAAACGGAAAAATCACATTAACACTTAATTCCTCTCCCTCTTCTCTGCAACAAAAGCTCGTTGAGGCTAAAATGGGGAAGAAGCTGGACGCGTTGTTTGGTCGGACTTTCAAAACCAACAAGTTCAAGTCTCTTCTCAACTTAGCTCTCACGAGGCTCTCTATCCTCAAGAACCAACGTCAAGCCAGATTCTCTCAGGCCACCTCTGACGTCACCGAGCTTCTCAAGCTCGGCCAACACGACAACGCTTACCACAGAGTCGACCAAGTCATAAAAGACCAAAACACCCTCGACGTTTTCTTCTTCGTCCATGGCTACTTCACTCTCTTGCTCGACCGTGTTCACCTCTTCGAGCACAACAGAGATTGCCCTGAAGAGCTTCTTGAAGCTGTTTCCGGTCTTCTATTTGCAGCTTCTCGAATCGGCGAGTTCCCTGAGCTTCAAGAGATTCGTAACGTTTTGATTTCGCGTTTTGGCAAAGATCTCGCGGCTAGTTCCATTGAGTTGCGCAGTAATTGTGGAGTCAATCCCATAGTAAGCAACTTTTGATTCATTCAAAACCATATTATATTCAATACGTTATCTCTAAATACAGAGCAAAAATACTTGCTAGAGTTTCTAATACTCATGTTTCGTTTTGGTGTTACAATAGATAATTCAGAAGTTGTCTACAAGACATCCATCGAGAGAAGTTAGAATGAAGGTCCTGAAGGAGATCGCTGCAGAGAATAACATAGTTCTGAAACTAGAAAGAGCTTCTTCTTCTTCCACTGAGGTATGTATATCTGCAAAATCAACCACAGAAAAAAAGAGAGAATAAGTCATGTTCTAATCAGATTTTATGATTTATGCAGGGAACAACATCTGATGTTTCCAAGGCTAAGTTAACAAGTGAAGATAGAGTAGAAGATGAAGGCTATGAGGTATCTGATTCGGTCAAGAGAGGTAAAAAGAAGTACAAAGATGTGGCTGATGCAGCGCAAGCAGCGTTTGAGTCAGCGGCTCATGCTGCAGACGCTGCACGAGCAGCTGTGGAGCTTTCTCAGTTTTCTCCTCGTGGACCAGACAATCGGGGTAATTCATCTAACCTTTCAGAAAACAAGAAACCAGAACAAGAACAAGAAGGTGATGATGATGATTTCTCAGAAGGTGAAGGGGATGATGTGAGGTCGGAATCTAAGAGGTCTAAGTCGGATTCAGAAGAAATTATCGAGGATGTCCCAGTGATGTCATTTAGAGAAGACCCTGTGAAGTTGTTGGACAAGGATGTTGTTATCTACGATAGCGAGGAAGAGTCTCCATATGGTGTTAAGACTAATACTACTATCAAAGATGAGCAAGATCTTATGCATGGTTCGAATAGAGCAGATACAGGACATGTGGACCACATGGTTCACTCGGTTGAACATCCTATTATGCGTAAAGTGGGTTTGAAGAGTCCGATATCAGTAAGGACCAGACAGGTTCGTGGGTACTAAGAAGTAGTAAGCTTTTATTTTCAGGTTTAATGACTGAGTTTTGTACAATTTTTTTTCATGTGTTCATTTTTCCTTTGGTCAAAGGGTGTAAAATTCTTTATGGATATAAGCTTTGAATTATGTTGAACAGTTGTGTATGTTTGTCTAATCATGAAAGGTTCCTAGAAAAAAAAGGTTTCTAGAAACTTGAAGTAAATATCTACTTTCATCTATGAAACCCCAATGTAAGAGAAATGTAACAGCTACAAAGACAAACTAGTAAATGCAAGTTCGAGATTTTTGCCATGTACTTAGGCTGGTCTATAGCCATCTATTGTTGTCATATGTATCCAACGTTTTGTATTCTTACGTTAGAGCTTAATCAGAGACACAGAGACCAAGAGAAAGAAAACCAGCAACACAACGTGTATACTGAAATTGTAAAATTAATCAGTACATTAACTTATTGCAGTCAAACAAGCAAGCACTCCTCTTAAAAAGAAAAGAAAAAACCACACACCATTTAGTCCAACATTAATAGTTTATTTGTCTGATCCGCATTTTCAAATGGATCTTGACCCTCATTTACGGATTCGGACATGTCGATGAACTCCATGAACCCGTTTCTAAGCTTCGCCTATGTTTTTCTTCCCAACTCATAATCTTCACCAAATCTTCTTCTCTGCTGCACAACTCACCCTTCAGAGACAAGTGTACTGCCCACCCATTGACGACTCTTCTAACGATCGCTTTGCGTTCAACATGCTCACCAGTCCCACGAATGGCCAAGCCCTTTAACGTTATGTAGAAAGTTTCATTTTTGGCGTTGAGTCTTTGATTCGGCGGCTCTACATCTGCATTACCTGTTTCCATCACCACTTTCACAATCTTTAACTTGTACAGATCCTCCTGCAGCAACAACAGTTTTGAAACAAGATGTTAATAATAATTACTACCAACAAATCATGTAGAAAGAAACTCATGGTATTATGTCGCTGATACAAAAAATAAAAAATAAAAGACAGGAAAAACTTACCCTTGGAATAAACCTATCCTTTGTATAAACTGTGAGTTCAAGATACGTTTGAATCCAACTAGTGTTCCTCACCACATGTTCCTCCAGCTGCATGGAAAAAAAGAAACATAATATACCACTAGTTCTAAAATGATCATGAGAGAAACAAAATTGATGTTGCCTTCCTTACCTCGAAAAATCGTTGTCTATCACTAATGATATCCTCTGAGGGCCAATCAGGCAATCCATCCGCAATTACTCCTCTCCCATGCAGAGATATGGGCTGACTGGTGGTCGCTGCTATGCAACAATATTAGTAAGAGAGTAAGATTTATAAGACTTGTAAACAAAAAAACAAAAGAATTTGCACCAAATTTCAAATCAGTCATTTTTACCTCCTCGAGTTCTTTTAGGCCTAGCAATGAAAACTGTAAAATCCAAACTGCAATAAAGGTTTTCTTCAGCATGAACTTGAAACGGCAAAAGTTGGCCGAGTGGGTCATAGGCTTCCAATGTTATGAAATATGATGACACAAGATTCTGTAGCATGTTAAATTTCATCAGGGAATGGAACTCCAAGTTAGTTCCCTGTAAAAAAAAATCAAACAGAGTATTATAACAGAAATCACCAAGGGAAGATGGATCAAGGAGAAGAGACTAGTTTTTACCTTAAGCATATTGTACAGGTGAAGTCCCATCTTAGCATAACCGTGGACCAAAGAAGGATAGGCATACGTATAAGAGTCTAGACCTTCGCACTCGAAGGTCATGAGTCCAATCATACCTAGTGGCCCTTTGATACCCTCGATGTCGAAACCCTAATTAATTAATACAAAAAGTTAACAAAAAAATTAGTAATAGAACAACCCTAGAAGCTACGAGTGCATGTGATCATGAGGGTTAGGGTTAATTTTTGTGTGACAAAGAACAATAGTCATCCCTACCAACGGATCAACCTCCAAATCAATAAATAACTAAGAAGAGGAAAGAAATACATACATCGGATTCAGCCACTTTTCGCCAGTACTCATCCACCCCACGGTAATGCTCCTCGTTGTATTCAATATTCATAATTCTCCTTCTCCTAGCTCAGAGAAAAGGTTGTGGTATATATTAAGGCTGAAGCGGTGGATCGATGCTTTTCCTTTTCTTTTTCTTTTATCTCAACATATTTTGTGATATTATTCAACGGGTAAATAAGAAGACGTTTAGTTTACAAGAAGACTTTCAGCGTATTGAGGAAAACATTTCAGTTTATTTTTAAGCCATTGTTTAGGCGATTTTTGGGGATCCTTTTTGACTAGAATCATATTAGCCATATCAACTACAGATTTCTGTTGATTGATTATGATCTAAAGCATTTTAGTTGGTTTTGTTATGAAACTGTTTCGTATGCTATGCTTATAGCACATAAAATCTGATTGATTTATTCATAAAAGCATTGGAAGCTGTTTCCGGTCTTTTATTTGCGGCTTCTAGGATCGGTGAATTCCCTGAGCTTAAAGAGATTCGTAACGTTTTGATTTCGCGTTTTGGCAAAGATCTTGCTGCTAGTTCCATGGAGTTGCGCAGTAATTGTGGAGTCAGTCCCATTGTAAGCAACTTTTGATTCATTCAAAACCATATTATAATCAACACGTTATAATGGTTATCTCTAAATACAGAGCAAAAATATTTACTAGAGTTTCTAATACTCATGTTTCATTTTGGTGTTACAATAGATAATTCAGAAGTTGTCCACAAGAGACGTTTCGAATGAAGGTCCTGAAGGAGATTGCTGCAGAGAATAACATAGTTCTGAAACTAGGAAGAGCTTCTTCTTCTTCTTCCACTGAGGTATGGGAATCTGCAAAATTAACAACACGAAAAAGAGAGAATAAGTCATGTGCTAATCAAAATTTTATGATTTAAGCAGGGAACAACAGCTGATGTTTCGAAGGCTAAGTTAACAAGTGAAGATAGAGTAGATGATGAAGGCTATGAGGTATCTGATTCAGTCAAGAGAGGTCAAAAGAGATGCAAAGATGTGGCTGATGCAGCACAAGCAGCGTTCTCAGTTTTCTCCTCGTGGACCGGACAATCGGAGTGATATTGGTGGGGGAAATTCATCAAACCGTTCAGAAAACAAGAAACCAGAACAACAAGGTCAAAGGGTCCGATTTCAGTAAGGACTAGACAAGTTCGTGGATACTAAGAAGTATTAAGTTTTTATTTTCAGGTTTAATGACTGAGTTTTGTACAATTTTTTCATGTGTTCATTTTTCCTTGGTCAAAGGGTGTAAAATTCTTTATGGATATAAGCTTTGAATTATGTTGAACAGTTGTGTATGTTTGTCTAATCATGAAAAGTTTCTAGAAAAAATTTGGACTGAGAGAGAAATTTCTAAGAACTTACTTGGAAATTACTGCCCTCTGCCCCTCTTTTTACCATGTGGAATCAGGTCAGAATATGCCTGCAGATTTACGCCGACGTCTTCATCATATTCAACTCCAAGCTCCTCCTACAAAGTCGCAGTAGTCAAAGATTACGGCTAAGTTAATGAATTTTGAAAGAAGGAAACTTGTGAAGAGCCATGGTTTTGCACCTTAAATTCCTTCATATCTTTGGGAGAATTCTCTGTAACAGTATCCCAAATGTCTCTGAACATCCTCTTACGCTTCCTCCACTGAGTGATTTTATCAGAGTACATATCTTCAACAGCCTTTTTGTCTTCCGGCCTCACCAATGTAATTCCTCCTCGTAGTTTGGTCAGTTTCTCTTCCATTTCCTCAACCTAGTACACAGTTGAGATCACTTAGTTGATAAGCTATTTCCGATCACAAGATTACTCAAAGGAAAGACAAAAATCCAAAAGCCAAGAACATGTTACCTCTTTCCTTAGTTTGGCATCTTTCTCTTGTATCTCTTCTAGTGTCAAGTTTGACTGCAAGCTCTTGATTTCTGTGAAGATAATATCATAAAAGATAATGTTATCCGAGCAGCTACATCACATACTTTGTCAAAACTTATGTACTGATCAAAAGATAAATTTCACACCTGACTCAACTTCACTGATTGTTTTCTTCTTCTCCTGGAGTTGTTCTTGAAGCTTTGTATTCTCTTCTTTCATCTGAGCAAGTTCCTCACTGTTTGGAATCTCGAACTGGTCTTGCCTAGCGATGTATATCTTCTGCTTACCATACTCCTTGAACGTGATTTTCCCAGCATCCGCAAGGCTATCGAGTGCCTTTTGTACTGCAGTCTTCTTAAGGTTAAACTTTTGCAGAGCATCAGCTGCATTTTGGGTGTTTAGAGGTCGGTTTTGCTGCAGCATAACGTAACAAACCCAATGATCATCAAAATCTGATATAAATAACAAAACGGATCGAAGAAGCTTGCAATGTAGAATCTGCATCTACTAATTTCAAAACCCAGTTGGTTTGCTTCAAAAGGAAAATTCATTGTGGCTAAGGTTCACAGTATCGAAGATGAGTAAAAAATTCCCAAATTGGTTCAAATTCAAAAATCCTTAAACATTACTGTGTAGCTTAACCTAGCTTCAATTTCGATTTCGATTTTCACGGTCGTATCTGTTTGAGGTCCGATTAAAACCAAGTTTTCCGATAAGCAAAATGGAATCGCAGAGAGATGCTCACCTCGTTCACAAAGTTGAGCACGATAGCTGCAGATCAAAATTTCAGGAAACAAGTAAATAAGAGAGAAATCAAAAGTGAAATTAAGCTGAAATTAAAAGCAACAAATCGAAACCCAGATCGATTAACGACGAAGAACAAATAATCGAGCAAAGAGCAAGGAGAATAGAAGATCTAGTCCAGAGATTGTACCGTCTGTGTTATCCGATTTAGGAGCCATTTTCGAACTAATGCGCGGGAAATAAAAATCCTGGAGAGAGCAAATTTTTCCTTTTCCGAGATATTTTGTTGAGGAAGAGAGTGTGGGAGATAGAGAGAAGCTTCCTTTATACGAGAAGAGAGAGATACATCAAACGTCGTCGTATCACGTTTGGGCCCATTTGGTTCTTATCTTTAATAGGCCCAATTATATGGACACAGCTTGAGATAGTTTAGTTGCAGAGAACATTTCCTCTCTCCTTCTCCTTCTTCTTTCCGATTGATAGATAGATCGCTACAAACTGGGAAAGCATCGTAATCGGTAAATCTCGTCCATTTCTTCAACTTATCAAATGTATATGTGAATCTCAAATCGAATTACAGTTTTAGATCCTCTCTCTGTATTAGTCAATTGAGTGCTAGTAGTTTCTCTAGGTCTTCTTTCGTTTTTTTTTTTATTATAGATAAAGATGAGAACGGCCTAGAAGTTTCAAATCTCCATTCTAATCATCTTCGATTCTGATTTTCAGTTTTGTTTAGGCTCATAATTGTTTGGTATAGATAATTTTTCGCTGAACTCATTCTTCCTTACAATTCCAACATTTTTGTCGATGCATTGTGTTTGATTCTGACTTTTCTGTAGATTTTTGTTGATATAGGATCATTTGAAGGTAGGGGAGTGATTGATTTTGGACAAGATGGCTATGGTTGATGAGCCTTTATACCCCATTGCCGTGCTCATAGACGAGCTCAAAAACGATGATATCCAGCTTAGATTGAACTCGATCAAACGGCTTTCTATCATCGCTCGTGCTCTCGGAGAGGAGAGAACCAGAAAGGAGCTGATTCCGTTTCTCAGTGAAAACAATGACGATGATGACGAGGTGCTTCTGGCGATGGCAGAAGAGTTGGGTGTTTTCATTCCTTACGTAGGCGGGATTGAGCATGCGAATGTTCTGCTTCCGCCTCTCGAGACGCTCTCAACCGTTGAGGAAACTTGCGTGAGAGAGAAAGCTGTTGATTCACTTTGCAAAATTGGTTCTCAGATGAGGGAAAGTGATTTGGTTGAACATTTCGTCCCTCTTGCTAAGGTTAGACACGGATGATTGATTACTCATGTTATCAATACGTGTATGTAACGTGCAACGGACCTTGAGACTTACTGAATAAGTGTCATTGTTTAACAGCGACTTTCAGCTGGTGAGTGGTTCACAGCTAGAGTGTCAGCGTGTGGAATTTTCCATATCGCATACGCGAGTGCACCGGATCTGCTAAAGGCAGAGCTAAGGTCACTATACAGCCAGCTCTGTCAAGATGACATGCCAATGGTGCGCAGAGCTGCTGCAACCAATTTAGGGAAGTTTGCTGCTACGATTGAATCATCTCACTTGAAGACGGAGATTATGGCCATGTTTGAGGATCTGACGCAAGATGGTACGTTTTTTTTCGATACTATATGGTTTTGTTTCTTGCCAGCGTATACTCTTATAGTTTTCGTTAAGCCTGTTTATGGGGATGACTGATGTAAATAAAAAATGAAAGTAATATAGTTAATGCATTGAGCAGTGAGAATTAGCTGAAGTTAAGCAGTACTACCATTTGTGCACAGCTCTGTTTCAGTTTCTTTCTTGTATGATGATCTTATCGCTTTTAACTTCCTTATTGACGTTGATATCAGATCAAGATTCGGTTAGATTACTGGCTGTTGAGGGTTGTGCTGCTATTGGGAAACTGTTGGAGCCCCAGGACTGTGTCACACACATTCTTCCTGTGATTGTCAGTTTCTCACAGGTGAATAATTGTGTGAATAAGATCAGATTTTCTACTGATTGAGCCTTATGCAACAGTTGCAAGGCATATATATATATGAAATGCTTTATCTTTCTTTCTTTCTTTTTGTCCGTGTCTGAGCAGGATAAGTCCTGGCGTGTGCGGTATATGGTTGCAAATCAGCTCTATGAACTTTGTGAAGCTGTCGGGCCCGAGCCAACTAAGTAAGCAATAATGTTTGAAGCTCGTTATTATTTATTGATGACGTTATAGACCGGTGAATTTGTAATTCCTTTTCAAACATTAGATTACTGGCTTTAGAGGTATTTGGTACTTGGAAGTTTATGTTTGTACTTTTCCTTTTTGTGTGCCTGTGTATTAAGGACGGACCTGGTGCCTGCGTATGTTCGTCTACTTCGTGATAATGAAGCTGAAGTTCGGATAGCTGCTGCTGGAAAAGTCACTAAGTTTTGTCGGATTTTAAACCCCGATCTAGCTATCCAACACATTCTTCCATGTGTAAAGGTACACAAGCTCAAGAATAATGACTTGATATCATACTGTGCAAAGGACCAGCGTACCACACTACCACTAGTGTTTGCTGATTACTAGCTTATCTTAAAATCTATCTGTAGGAATTATCTTCGGACTCTTCTCAGCACGTTAGATCTGCTTTGGCCTCAGTTATAATGGGAATGGCTCCAGTCTTGGGTAAGGTAAGGGTGAAATGAAAACCGATACAATGTTCCTCTTATATCATGGGACATGGATACTGCCATCTATACAACAACGCATTTGGCTATGTAGTTTGGATTCATAGGTTCATAAAGTACTTTACTCAGCTTAAGCATGCTTAAAGATAACGATTATCTTTTGTTTGAGACCATGTATATCTTCCTGGTCTTTTGTCATCTATATAAGATATTTTGGCTAAACTCTGTATGTTGCAGTTTTTAACTTGGCATTTGATATTTTATTGCAGGATGCAACAATTGAGCATCTTCTTCCAATCTTTCTTTCTCTATTGAAAGACGAATTTCCTGATGTACGCCTAAACATCATCAGCAAACTTGACCAAGTGAATCAGGTTCGTTATGACCAAGTTACTTTATCCCTTTGCACAACATTGAATTTCAAGATATCATATTTTGGCCAAGGCAAAGATTAATACATATTACTGGGCAGCAACTTTTTTTCTTTCCCATCCATATATTAGATGATGAAGCGGTTATATATTTTTGGCAGGTTATTGGGATTGATCTACTATCACAATCTTTATTGCCAGCCATTGTAGAACTTGCTGAAGACAGGCACTGGAGAGTACGTCTTGCTATAATCGAGTATATTCCCTTGTTGGCCAGTCAATTAGGTGTAGGCTTCTTTGACGATAAGCTTGGTGCTCTTTGCATGCAATGGTTACAAGACAAGGTCACTCATTCTTTACCTTCATTGCATCATCAGACATCTGATAAATCCGTTTTTGTCTGCCATTTGAAGTTTTCTGAAATTTTCTATTGTCAGGTTCACTCGATCCGTGACGCTGCTGCAAACAATCTCAAGCGTCTTGCTGAAGAGTTTGGTCCTGAATGGGCAATGCAGCATATAGTACCACAGGTTTGTCAAGAAATTGTTTTCTGCTTTCTGGTTCAAATCGATCGTTTTCAATATTGGTTTTGAGTGTGTTTTACTTGTGCAGGTTCTAGAGATGATTAACAATCCTCACTATCTGTATCGGATGACGATTCTTCGTGCGGTATCGCTTCTGGCTCCAGTAATGGGGTCCGAGATCACTTGCACCAAACTCTTGCCTGTGGTAATAACTGCATCCAAAGACAGGCAAGTCTCTCCCTCTCTCTTTCTCTCTTACTCGATTCATTACTCTGAATTTCTAAGTAGAGAAGTGTCTTCTCTTACCAGAGTTCCAAACATCAAATTTAACGTGGCCAAAATGATGCAATCTCTCATTCCAATAGTCGACCAATCGGTTAGTATCACATTCACAAACGCAATTCTTTTTGGTTTCCCACTTGCCTTGTGAGGTTACATATTGTCTTTAGGAATCTGAACTTATTTTTGTGGCTTGTGAAAGGTTGTGGAGAATATGATACGGCCATGCTTGGTTGAGCTAAGTGAAGATCCAGATGTTGATGTTCGGTTTTTCGCGAATCAAGCTCTCCAATCTATTGACAATGTGATGATGTCTTAGCTAAAAAATGAAAAAGAACAAATAAACTTGTGTGTGTTGGTTTTGTGTTTGTTAGAAAGAGTGTCTTGATAACGATATTTAAATCACTTTTGTGTTTTCTTTGCTTTACACGGACGGAGTTTGTCCAATGTATCTCTCTCTCTGCTACTAATAATGTTGGCTTTGTCCTTAATTTTGTTTAATTTCAACTATCCATTGTAGTTGGCGGATTTGAGAAAGAAAGAAAAAAATTGCTAATAGATTTTTAATGAAATAAAAAGTTAGTGATATGCACTGAGGCAATTTTTTTGTAATTATCTTGTGAAATTAAATCATTGGTTGATTTATTGGTCTTGTTTGGGTCCTCTATTTCAAGCCCATGGGCTAATATCAGCTCTTTGACTTAAAACTCGAAGACTATTTATAGAAAAGTCAACACCTTGTTGAAGAAGTAAACGCAACAATTTACAGAGAAGACCTACGAAAGTCATCGAAGCTCCCTCGAAAAGTTCAAAATTCCCATGTGTAATATGTTGATCAAAGGTATCATTGTCGTTTTCAGTTCTATTATTTTGTTGTTAATAGCTGAACTTTTCTTGCACACTTCGCTGTTCGCTGTTTCAGTTCTACGAAATTTCTTGTTCAATTTCTTTTTGTTGATTTTGTTTCCTATTTCAACTACTATTTGGATTCAACAGTTTAACTCACAATAGGATTAGGAAACCAACGAAAATATCTGAATCTCCTCTAATTTTTTTCCTAATAGTCCCGGTAATATGTTTTCCAAGTATTAATAAATCCACCGTAACGAGTTATATTTGGGAGTTTTTGTGTTTCATGTTTGTTCGTTCTGGTGTTTACTAGTTACATGATCAACGTCTATGTCTATGGAAGAAGACATGCTGCAGTACCTAATTCCACAACCAAACACAAAACAGATCGTGTTCGAGAAAGTGTTATCAACTGAATTTCCAGCTACTCTAGTAGAATTCAGAGAGTTAAGCGCCATGCGTAAAGCAGTCGAGGAATCTCTTAACCGAACCAGCAATGTCACCGATGCTTGCGAGCAGGTAAAAACAAAAACTCTTTAAAACTTAAGTTGCTTCACTTTTGATTAGAGAATATTAATTATTATTTTTTCTCTCAGGATCTCAATAAACTTGGAGCATACATTCCATTACTCTTCAACTTGGTACATTACGCTGATAAGATTAAAAAGGTTTCGGGTCTGAAGATAAGATGGAGTAGTGGATTGATCTCTCAGACAATAATTCAGCGTAGATGTCCAAAATTCTTCCAAGTCGATAACATAATGTTCGAGCTCGGAATGATACTTTACTTTCACGCAGTCAAGCTACGTGAGAGAGCAATGGAGTTAGTAACTACAGGTTAATTAATTACTCTTTTTTCTTACGTGCTAATTACTTCTAATTAAATTACCTTAAGTACCACTCATATTAATTTCGCTTCTTGAAACAACAGATATCAAGAAATCGGTAGCACATTACCGAGAAGCATCTGGAGTTTTCAATCATCTGTCTCATGAGCTTCTTCCTTCTTTACAACCATCGTTACCTCCAGGGAAGCTTCCGGAGCTAACTCCTTCACTTTGCTCTTCCTTGAGCCTCCTCTGTTTAGCTGAAGGCCAGGTCAGTGATTTGTACTTGCTCTCAAACTATATTTGTTTTTTTGTAGATGAAAACAACAAACAAACAAAAAACTGATGCTAAGAGTGAGAGGTTTTCGTTTAATAGGCTGTGACTACGAAGAGCGCTGAAGAAAGTGGAAAAAGTGCAAGTTTATTGTCGAAACTTCATTATGGAATTACACAGATGCTCTCTGAAGCCTCTGCTCACTTGTCATCTCGAGCTAATGGAGAATGTAAAGACTTATCGTCCCGCTTTCTCGTAAGTCTCTATATCTATACGTAAAATTTAACCCTATCTTGGCGAACAAGCAATTCTTGTTCCATTTTCTTGAAAAGAAACCAAATCTTGATCTGAAACTCATCTACTTGGCATCTAAATCTCTACTTGATTTTTTATATGGAATCCATGTGATGATGATTGATTGATAATGTAGGAATATGTGTCATCATTGAGAGCACTACACGAGCTAAAGAGCCAAAAACACTTGGCAGAAGTTCTGGAATCCGAAGAGCAAATAGGAGAAGCGGTTGGGGTTCTCCGGCGTGCATTAGCATCGGCGAGGAAGAGTGTGCCGTCAAAAGATGACACGTGGATATCGATATTCAAGAAAGAGAGAGAGGAAGTAAGCAAGAAAATGGCTAAGTATGAGAAGTTGAACGATTTCATGATGTTACAGAAGATTCCTGTAGAAACAGATTTGCCATATCCGAAAGGTGAGAAGATTGTTAATCTCATTGCTTACACTCCCACAAGAGTGGAACGAGAGCTTCGATTCAAGTAGAAGACTTAACCTATTTTTATTGTTGTTGGGATATTCATATTATAGTTGTGTGCGGTATTATTTTTGTTTCGTCTTTGTGAGGTATGAAGATCAAATTAAGGTGTGCGATACAATTCTTTTGCCATCGGATAAAAGTTGTCCGATTGTGCAAGAATATTCTTCTTCCAAAATGCTCTAAGATTTATATAGATTTTACGTTTTTAATACTTAGGAGAATACTTGGGAGAGAAGAGATAATTAATTATAATTTTTTGTGTTCATGTAACAAACTCAGGTTGGCCCGTTAAGCTAAAATCTGGACAAAAATCGAAAGATCCATTCTCTTTGGGATATATCTTCCTTGCTTGAATTCCAAAATGTAATAATAACTCATCAAAACTCAGATCAGAAGTCAGAACCAACATATAAATATGAATGTATAAATTATAATACTAACGTTTTGGATATGAATATGACATTATTGTCGGATCGAAAATTCATACTGTATATGTAAATTACTCTTATTTCTAGATACGATGACAGTGCATATCGTTTAATTTATAATTATCTCAATATTTTCAAACGTATTTTTAAAAAATGTTTTCTCGATGTTCCTGTCTAGTTACTAGTCATGAAGAATCTTCAAAAGGCGTTTCATATTATATACTCAAAGATTAATTTCCCAATGTCAACCAATTTGTTAGGATTAGAACAAGATCATTTCACAATGTCAAACATTTTGCTAAGATTAAAACAAGATTTGCACGTACTTAGGACATGTATATATGTTTACAGAAAGTGATAATAACGGTAAGGTCGTACATAAATTTGTACTCTTCTTATTTACTTTAGTTTAATATAACGACTTAATTAGGTCAATACGAATATTCCATGTCTATGGTTTTTTAAAATGTTGGAAATAGACCACTAAAAGAAGCATTGAAGTTTGTTTAATCATAATTTTAAATAAATATCAAGACTCAAGAGCCATTTTGTCCTTTAACTGGTATGAAAGGACACGTTAACTCATTACAAAGCTTAGCCTCCCTAATTATTTTTATAACTTTATACCTAATGAAATCCTAATCCGATTCCTGGGATCTATCGTCAACTCACTATGTATGTATGTATGTACTTAAAAAATATAATACTTATCTAGTCACATTCATTTGTTTGTTTATTCTGCACATGGAATTTCTAGCAAGGTTGATCCGATCTTGAAAACGAAACCATCTTATTTCAAATACGCAAACATATAAAAACTCAGCAAAAGAATATAAAATCATCTTTATAGCTGCTTAATAAGGGTTACATGATTATCACATAAACTAGTCCAATTATAGATTTCTAATATGAGTTGATAGTGTATCTAGACAATCATAGAGGTAATAATCATTATTTAAAAGGCCACATGGAAAGGTAAACCTAATTGCGGGACCCGTAAGGCTAATAAACAAATAATTAACAGAATCTTTAGATTAATTCAAGATTCTGAGAGACTCTGTCCAAATAGGCACATATATTAAGTGACCTAACCATATCTATTTAATGAATAAAAGTCTTCTCTACACCAAGAGGCAGAGAATATACTCTACGACAAGGACATTTTAGCTAACGTGCTCATTTGTATTAATATTCAAGCAACCAGCATGGCAGCATGAGAATCAAATTTAAATTAAATAGTAGTAGAAAAAATGTTGACACCAATATACAATTATATTTATAGTAAGTTATGCTTTTCGGATTCAAGCATATTCGTCCCATGAATGCAACCAATTCAATAAGTCCTCTTCCGGGTCTTATTGTTATCATAAAAAAAAATCAATTTTGTTGTCATGTGGCTGTGTGCATCTTTTTTTATATAATATGGTAAACAAAAATTTAGTATATACTACTAAGAAGATCCTTTTGCTCGACTCTGCCCACATGTTCATATTAGCTGTAATACATACATCCATGGAGAAAACAAGAATGTAATAACAGTTTTGGAAAAGAAAAGAAAGTATATATAACAACCATAAGATGAAAGTTAACTGCAAAATATGGCATTTATCCTGAGTAAAAGAATATGGCATCGGTTCGGTGCAAAACTCTATACACTCTTTTATCACGGTATCAAATTCTAACTTGGAGATAACAAAACAATAATTGTATAATAAAATGAAACAAAACATTAGAGAGAGTAAAACAAATTAACTTTTCTTGACGTAACGATTACGAGTAGAAGAAGACATCGCGGGCGAGCTACACCGGACCATCCCCTCTTCGCTATGACTTCCCGATCCCTCTTCCACAATAACTGAAGATCTAAAATTGGAATGGCTCGGCCACTGTGGCGGTGGTGGTGCAGCCATGGCTCCATAGATCCCAGTAGTAGTGGTGGTGGTGGTGGTGCCGCTGGTGGTGGCTCCTCCGGTGATCTTGCCCGTAGAGTATTCAGATTGTGGGACCCATAAACCTCCGACGACTACGAAATGTTGCGTTTGAGAGTTTCCGTTGGAAGGGACTGTTTGGCTTGGCCGTCTTGTATGCAGTCTATATTTCTATTATTTTCGATCACCAAAAAAGAAAGAAAACAAATTAACATCATTTTTGTGTAGAATAAATTTGATATTTTCTTGAATTTATACATCAATTATAGAAAGAAAATAGTCGTGTATGATTAACAAAATTACCTGTAAATGGCTTTTAACTTCATCATTGGTCAATCCGTCAACCTTCATTAACTCCCTGATTTGCTTTGGCGTAGCTACTGTAAAATACATTCTCCAAACTCAGTATACTAACAAAATAAACCCTGAATAACACCAAATTTATTTAAATCGTAAGAAAAGTAAAACGTACCATGAGGTCCACCTAAATGTTGAAGAGCGTTCAAGAAGCGTCTATGCAACTGCGACGACCAACACCTTCTTTGTTTTCTTCTTTCGTCTTTCTCCGCCTCTCTCTTCCTTCCTTCGCCACCGTTCATCATCGGATCTTTTCTCATACTCTCATCTCTCTTCACCGTCTCCATCATTTCCTGTGGCGAGCGTTCCTAGAAACCAAAACGTAAAATAAATATTTTAAAACCTTAATATGTATTCATATTTCAAAGTTTTCTTATTGTAGAAATATTTTTTAAATCAAGATCAAGTTCAAATTCGCTAGTTTTTTTCTTTCCTTTTTTTCTTTAAAGATAATTGCTTAAGATTTAGTAAGAGTTTTTATCTGAATTCTCTAATATAATACCTCTTTTGGGAGAAGAGCTTCGGGTTGGTTCCAGAGTTGAACAGACTTAAGCCAATCAGATTTCATGTTGTCATCCTCGGGATCTTTGTCAGGATCGTGATTTCCATGCTCATCCTCAAATTCTTCATCCTCTTCCTCGTTAGAGGTCGATGAGTCTTTAATGGTCAGAAACTGCTCCAAGACGGGCCCACATTCTCCGGTCGTCTGCTCTGAGCACTCCGGTTGTCCGTATACATTCTCCGTCGTCGTCTCGGGTATCTCCCTCTTACATGCCTCGATTGCTTAAGAAATAAAATTATAATTTAAAAAGTAAGTTTTCTTTCATAGAGACTAGATTTCATTGTATATGTGATGCACGTACCTTGAGTTACAAGGTCTAAGCAAAGAGGAAGTTCACGTTGGAAGACATGAATCTTGCGACGTTCTTCTTCGAGGGCTTCAAGGTATTGTCCACATCTCTCCCGTTTCTGGTTGTATTCCATATTGCCTAACTTCTTAATCATGCTTATTTAGAGGATAACTAATAAATCCACCTTTTAATTGAGATATGGTTTTGTTTGGACTTTAGAGAGAGGGATCAATACATGTATATATACGGCTCTATAAAGCCTCTCAAGGATCACTATTTTGAATGAATAAAAAAAAAAAAAGTCGGCCCGTCGCGTTACAAGACGAATCTTGTTTTTCATAGTTTTGTATATATTTGTACACCTTGATGTTTTTAATATATGTATATGTTTATAAAGAAACGTAACCAATTTGATAATATGTCTTGTCATAGTAGTAGTAGATAGAGAGTGGTGAATATTCTCCAATGTGATTCCGAGTTTTTGTTAGGTTATTTATTAACTATGTCAAATGGACAAAACAAGAGCTGGATACTTATTAGACGACAAAAAAAGAAGAAGAGATTGATACTTTATTTTCTTTATGTAGTCCATTTTGGTCGAGAATCTAAGCCATTTAATATGTTGAACTTCGTATTGTTATAAGCATTAACTTGTGAGTATTTCTTTATTTCATTTTTTTTTATATCCACCATTGAGATATTTTTCTAACCATATACTTCATCCATGAGCTTTAGGCTTCCGCATCCACCTACCATAATCTTTTGCATCTTTTATACCTTTGGTGTAAGTTTTATTGACTTGCCTTCTTGGGACTTCTGTAGTTCTGTGCAAGTATATTAGTCACCTCATATCTTCGGACAATATCAAATTACCTAAAGGTCTTACTAAAAAGGATGAGGGAATCACGAAGGTACATAATTTTAAAGGAGTGATATACAAATAAAGTTTTGAGCAATTGTGATCAAGCGTGATCTGCTTGAAACAATGTGAACCAGAGTATGAGATAGGATTCTTCTGACGTACATAAAGGTTAAAGATCTGGATTGGAAAAGCAACTGAGTGCGCATGAGTTGAGTTAAGTCGTGTATGAGGAAGATTCCAAGCTACGCAGCCTCGTATATCGTTGCTTCCATATTGCATCGTGGCGTGAAAAATGAGATCTTAGTTTGAATCTTGATGTATGAGATGAGATCCGTGTAGAAACAATCAATATTATTTGGTTATTACAAAATTTGGCGGATTAGTAACAAACTGTGAACAAAATTATGGTTTTGTAATGGATACAACTTGAGTCTCGCAAAGTTTTCATGTTATGGTGAATCCTTTTTAGAGATATTCACATAAAAGAAAAGTAGCATGCATGAGCAATATTTCGTTAATATATTACGCATTTTGACCTTCTTCGAAAATATTAAAAAAAATTATCACAATATGATGAGATCTAAATTTTATTAAAGGAAATAAAATTTAAAAATGACGTTAATCAAAAGCCAAATGTCCCTTTAACGAAGAAGCCAATACATGGAAGAAGAAAAAAGGCCGTACAACAAGATAACCTCATTTTTTGTTTCCCCGAATATAACCTCGTTTTTTTTTTCTTTTTATTCGCTCAAAATTTCCCCCCTTTATCCATTAGGATTCATATTTAAATTCAGATGACACAGAATCTTGACTTTGTTGAATTCGTTATATCCAATTATTCGTTATATGCAATTAGTGTGTGTAATTGTCTAAATCTTATATATTTGTCAAGATCTTTGAGTTTTGACCGGTGACATTGATTAGTTGTATATTCTTATCATTTGCCAAGTAAAACATGAAAAAAACATAACGTGTTGGACTGTATTATCAAAGATCCTCATGCTTCATTCCAACTTTCCAAGATAATGGTACGCCAATGCCTTTCACAATCAACCCATCAGTACTTGAATATTTTAGAAACTAATCTAATTTTACTATTTCCGCCCATTCAAGTTTCTTTCTTATCCAAAAGTTTGCACATCTGACAAGTATAAATTATAATTAAGAGTAGTGGTCGGTCGTCGACAAAAAAAAAGGTCTTGATGTTAATGGGACGGAGACTTGGTACATTTAGACGGTAATAGGAAGCATTTGTGAACCTTCGGCTCCACAATCGATTATATTCTAGTGTTAGGAAATTTAGCGTAATGGCCTACAAACCACTCCGGCTCCGATTATGTTACATACTACAAATGAAAAATTTGGTAAATTAGACTAAGACATGTAACATAGTTTATGTGTTGTTGATGCCACCGTATCACCATCTAAATTCAAACATACATAAACTATAAATGTCTAAAATCACCATGGCATTTCTACATTTCGAAAAGATGATTCATGTATGTTTGAACATGGTTTAATTTTAATTTTACTGTTTTGAAAAAAAAACTATATAAATCATTAAAATTTTGAGGATGATCGAGCTGTGACCGAATTAGTGATATAATTATAATAAGCTTGAATTAGGTGATTATTGAGTCAAATTGTCTTTGATTACATTGGAAATTATGAAATGTGTTGGCAAATCGTATAGGAATCTATCACTGATTGGCTTCTAATTGTCCGTAATTGGCTTTTAGTTGTCCCTTCAGTTTCTGAGGAGGTGTATATCCACAGTTGGACTTGTATCAAGTATCAACAAAGGAGGCGTATATCCACAGTTGTCTCAACAAAGGCTCACATGAAACCACATGCGACTAAACTGATAAAACGACGCCGTCTTTAGGCCACTGTCGGATTTCTTATCGTTTTCAAGACCAGGCCTATTATAATTTTCCTATCAACTAGGCCCATTAGTTTATTTTCGGCCTTTTCACAATATCGAAGGTGGGGGAGAAAAACGCCGACGAAGTTTTGACGGAAAAGAGTTTTGAGATGTAAGATACTGATGATGGTGATGGGATAATATCAGCGAGTGACCTTCACGTGCTGTTCAAGCTTCTTGGTGTAGAGCGTACAATGGAGATATGCGATGCCAAAGTTCGAGCCCTTGATGGCGATGGTATTGGATTTATGAGCATCAAGACTTCAAAACTTATTACAAAAAAAAAAAAAAAAAACTACTACCATATCTCTTAACTAGTTTTAAAATAGTAATTAGCTTTTGTTTTGGTTTTGTTTTGTTTTGTTTTAGTTGTTTATGGATTTGGTTTGGGTGATCAAACTTTTACAATAGATGATTTTATAATATATGCACTCTTACAAACCTACAAGATGAAGGAAAAGGAAACATTGACAAATAACTTTCATGTGTTCAATTCCACAAATTTGCACTTAAATACAAAAAAGGTACTAAAAATAAGAGTATAATAAATCATGAAAAATAAATATTAAATATAATGTGACAGAGCAGAGAGACATAGGAGATGAGGGAGCTACAGTTTTGTTTCAGTCGTACTATTTTGTGCTCTTCTTCTTCGGATTCTTCAAAGACTTAGAATCTAACTGCTTCAATCAACCAAAACGATGAAAAACTTTGATCAGACCAAGATTTCTTATAATATATGTTTGTGTGATTCTTTGCTAACTTCTCTCTCTCTCTCCTCTCTCTACGACATTGTTTTAAGGTTTTTTCGACATGTCTAATCAAGATAGAAAGTACCTCGGTTTAAAGCCTCGAGGACTATTTATAAAAGCAATAGTCGATGCATGAAGATTCTACTTAAACAGTTACCAACAGACAACAATCATATTAATATAATTATACTGAATACTGATTCATGTGGCACAACTACTTTGCTTTTGAAAATAGTTGCAATTAATCCATCCAACAATTTAGCCTGTAGCATAAACCGTACCATGACTTTTTTTTTGTCTAGTGACGAGTAAAAGAATATAATATGGTCGGATTTGGCATAAAAGTTAAAAACACAACGTTTTTGGGTTAATTTATTGGAAAGCTGTCTAATGTTTTCAGATCATGAGCTCATCTTATCTTAATATAAATATCAGCCATAATTATATTTTATGCATTGTCCATCGAGGAACTTAAAAAATATACTAAAAATTGGTAGTTTCCGTCACTATCCAACTTCTAAAACCCTAACATGCACTAACTAACATATAAACCCAAATGGAAATAACTTGAATTTGAAAGAAAACAAATAATGTTTTTACAATACATTATGTATTTTCGTTATTTACTTTAATAAGACTCAATACCGGAAACCCTCTTTCAATGAATAAAACCTAATACCATATGCCTTTAGCATTAATTGTAGCATTGAAGCAAAACAATATGTACACCTTTCGTCCAACTTTTACATTCCAATCCCATTAACAAGCAAATAAGCAAACTTCTCCACTTTCCTTAGATTTTAAACTAAAGTAAAAAGTCTGAGAATAGATTAGGGGTAACTTTTGGCAGCAAATGTTTATTAAAAAAAATGGGAACTTTAATAGTATCATCACTGAGACTATCACTATCTCAATAAGTTGTTCAGAGCTCAGATGATGAAAGTGGAGAGAGAGAGAAGCTTTCGCATCTACAGTTAACGCCACGTTTCTCCATGTCTATTGCTTTTGTATCAGAGTGTACTCTCACCTTTTCTTTTAGTTTGTGAGGAGAGTAAATGAACACTCAGATAATACAAATTTTGAATTATAAATATATATGAAGAAATTGAAAGAGAGAGGTCGTGAAACGAAGAATGGTTTTGGGATCCTAGAAAGGAGAGCGAGTTCCAAGTGAATAGTACATTCTTTGCTAATAATGAGAGATGCCCACATCAGCTTTTTATTATATAGTTTCTTTGTTTCTTTTTGTAAGCTAAATCATAAATGTGTAGCCATGTCCAAATTTTATTTTTCTTCTAAAAAGTTTGTGTAAATAAGTGCAATATATACTACGTTATATATATACATTTTATATAGGTGAAAATATTTAAATTGAAATATAATGTATGTATTGTTAAATTTTACTAATGTGTTAAAAGAATGTACAAAGTGGCATCCAAACACTTTTGCATAAAAATAATTTATTTTAAAAAGTGAATGGATAGATTTTTGGAGACTGGAACAAAACATGGGTGTCTAAATCGTAACATGTAAATTTACGAGGAAAAAAAAAGCGAAAGCAAAGTACAAAACAAGAGAATCATTTATTAGTTACCAATTCGTCCAGCCTCCATTGTCTTTCTCCACCATTTCCTCAAACCCCATCTCTCTCTTTTATCTCTCATCTCTCTTTCTCTCTCCCCAATGTATAATAATAACCAATATTGCATATCCGGCGACGAAGACTCCGTCGTCCTCCGCCTTGGACCGCCTGGCCAACAATACCCTAACCATCAAAAACCCACCAGCACTAAACCTTCTTCGAATCATGAAATTATACATCCTGATCATGAGTTTAATAATCTCCCATCAACAAGCCCTAATGACGTCACCGTCGCTCTTCATATCGGTCCTCCGGTTTCCGACAATGAAACCACTACCGGCGGGAACAACCAAGAGGGTTTGACGCCGAGGCAGGGCCAGTATTGGATCCCTTCGCTTTCTCAGATCCTTGTCGGTCCCACTCAGTTCTCTTGTTCTGTCTGTAACAAAACATTCAACCGCTTTAACAACATGCAGGTTTCACATCATTCTCATATTGCAAAACTGATTTGATTCACACTACAAGAAGTTTTCTTGATTTAGCTGTCAATAGATATTCCTAATTCCCATTTACTTCCACGTGAATTATATATGATCACTACAGAAATTCTTGCAAGCTGATTTAGTTTCGTTATAAAAAAGTATCACGAAATTACATTATCAAAAAATTGTTAAAGTAACTTTGAATCTATAATCCTCTGCGTTTCATGGGGTATCAATCAGGGATAAAAAATCTCATCTATAAATCTTGTATATTTGTTTAATCGTCAAGAGATATATACATAATAAACAAAGTTATAATGTTCATGATAGATGAATTTAACTTGAAACATGAGATCACCAAAGTACTGTTTTATTTAAATTACATATTTGTATATTGTTCTCTCTTTTTTTTGTAGATGCATATGTGGGGTCATGGTTCGCAATACCGAAAGGGTCCAGAGTCACTGCGAGGGACGAAATCATCATCTTCGATACTAAGGCTGCCATGTTACTGTTGCGCAGAAGGTTGCAAGAACAACATTGACCATCCAAGATCAAAGCCTCTCAAAGACTTTAGAACGCTTCAAACGCATTACAAGCGGAAGCACGGAACCAAACCTTTCCGTTGCCGCAAAAAGTGCGAGAAAACGTTTGCTGTGAGAGGAGATTGGAGAACGCACGAGAAGAATTGTGGGAAGCTGTGGTTTTGCGTTTGCGGGTCGGATTTTAAGCATAAGAGGTCTCTTAAAGATCACGTTAGGGCTTTTGGTGATGGTCATGCGGCTCATACAGTGGGTGATCGTGTTTTGGTCATTGGAGACGGAGAGGAAGATGATTATGATGATGATGATGATATGGAGGAAGAAGAAGAAGAAGATGGACGAGATGATGAAGAACAAGAAGAAGGTGGTAATAGAGAAAATGGTCGTGGAGATCAGAAGAGCTATGGGATTAGATATGATCACTTTCGTCGTTATGGTCAAATTTCTAATGATAATTACTAATTAAATGGCCATTTTATGATCAATGGGTATTATTTATTAGGGTTTATTTAAGTGAAGTGTGTTTGGTTATTATTTACCTCTTCGTCACGTTAGTGAATTTAAAAGTACCTTTTTATTTTGTGTTCCTGAAATACATGTAGTGGCTTTGGAATACATAAGTGCTCCTTACCTTGTCATAACTCCATCAAACATTTTCTGCCTTTTTAGTTTAGTATTGTAATTTTCTTACCAGAAATGAAATAAAAAAATAAAACTACAACATTTGGTTATATATGGTTTGCATTTTCTTTTGTAATAGAGAGACATATCAGATAAAGATCCGACTGTAATCCTATGGACCTACGACATGACAGTATGAACCTACAAGTCATGTAAATTTTATAGAGGACTATGATCTAGTGAGTGAAAGTATGTGTCTAGTGAAATTCGATTTACGGTCTTGACCAACAGAACAATATCCACTCAATTAACATTAGTATTGGAGAAAAAGGGTCATGTATTTCTTTACTGTTGTCCTAAATTAGAATTCGATCGCAGAAGTATAGTTAAACGTTCGTTGACAAAAAAGAAGGAGAAGATTAGTCTTTCTTGGACTAGAAAACGATAATCCGTGAACGGAGATGTACAATTTTAATTAAAAAAATGATGTAGTGATAATAAGAAGAGCGCATCTCTGGTGATAAATAATGGAGGTAAAATATAATGGTAATTAAAGAGTCGAAAGTGGCAGTTCGATTTATCCAAAGACAGAAACTGTCTGTTGTCACTTTATGTAGTGATGTCTAACGTTACACACATTTGTCTATCTTACACTTGGAGAGAGAAATTTCACGACTCTTAGGTTACTTCAGTTTCTTTGTCACTCTCTCCCTCTCTCTCTCTTTCTCATATTTCTATTTTATCGAATCTATTATAAGTGATTACATTTTTTCAAACGCACTGCACTGTTATAACAAAAAATGTACGTGAGCTAGTCAAATCGTCAGAGACTACTCGTCATATATATCTCGATTCGCATGTAAATAAATTGTGGAGTATAATTTTTAGTTTTCAAAGTTTGAAATAAACTAGTCATACAAAGTACGGAGTAATAAATGTCGTTTTGGAACTTGTAAACTGATTGAAGGAGTGTACGTGTTGGACCTGATTCTCCATTCAATATGACTTCAAAGAAGCTAGTGTAAGTTTCTGACTAAAGGGCTTAAGTCTATGGATACAAGTACATAAAATTATTTAAATGTCTTCACTTATACTGACTGATCAAGATGTATAAAAGATCTATATGTCGTCTAGCAAAGTCTTTAAAATGTTTTTCTGAGAAAGAAATCTTTAAATTGTGGCAAATAGATTTCATTATATATGATGCGTTTATGCCCAATTTTTCACGTCGTGGAATTAAACAAGAAAGCATTTGATTAAGAAAATCAAAAAAAAAAAATCGTGTTGTGAGTTTGAAGTCGAAAGTGGCCACGCGCCTGACATGCCAAAGTTTCTAAATATAGAAAGTTTTCATGGTATATGATTATGAACGATCGTTCACGCACTCCAACTCCAAGTCTCCAACCATCAGATCACATAGATTTACGAGAAGCTAATCTACGATACCCAACATTAAGGCCCATCAAGATCCAAGAAAAGAAAATACAGGGGAAGTTCAAAAACCAATAATCAGTAAAGTTTTGGATTTGAGCAATCTCTTCCTAAAATTGAGATCTCTGAGGAGAAGAAACAAATCTATTCTTGAGGCCGAAGACGTTTGAAGCTTTTACATTAAACTTTCTGTTCTTAGGCCAATTATCGATTCAAATAATCAAATGTACTTCCACACTTGGCATAATAATTTACCTTTTAACTGTAAAATGGTATGGATTTTACGCGCGCTATTTGCAACAGTTCACATAAAGTTAACGAGAAACAGCTCTTTAATAATGCCCATTAACAAAGGCCCAATATTAAAGCCCATTTATTTTGCCTCACAATGAAACAGACATCAAGTTCCAAAAGAAACAAACAGAGAGACACACAGACACAGTTGATTTGGTTTTAATCGGTAAAGTTTTGAATTGTGGCACCGGGCTTAGCCGCCTGAGCTCCTGCCGCCGGTTTCACATCCTTCGACGGCTCAACATGTTTTCCGGTGAGCTCCACCGGCAAATCAGCGACAACGCCTTTCAAGTAAAAAGTGTAGAACAGCTTCGTCGGGTACACGAGCTGACGAAGCTTGACCTGTCCGTACGCTCCTTCGAAGACGCCGGAGCCTCCGGTGATGGCGAGAAACGTGTCCACGTAAGTCAGGTACGGTCCCTGCACGGAGATGTGACCGTAATCTCCGAAGTAGAAGCTGTAAGAAGCTTCGAAGCGACTGCCTTTCTTCTCCGGAACGTGTTGGATCAAAACGCAGAGCCCCGCCGTGATCCCGACGCGTTTTTGGAGATCGCCGGTGTAGAGTTTGTTTGTGAATGGAACGAGATCGCCGATGCAAAGCTGCTGTGGGTTTTTGCCTAGCTTTAGAACCGCGGGACTGTTTCGATCGCCTTCGTTGAACTCGTACACGTTGAGCTCTTGGATTTTAGCTGCGATAGTTTCACAAAGTAAGATCAATACTATGAAATGAGTACTTGATTTCGAGTAATAGAGGTCAATTTTGATCTTAATTTTCTCAATTCATGAAATGGGTACTTGAATGTGATGCAGAAGGTCAAATCTTTACACAAAAATTTGATACCAAGTCATGAAATCGTTACTTGGTTGTGAGCATAAAGATACAATTTTTAAAACCAGATTTTGATTCCAATTTTTCAATTTATTAAATGATTATACTTGGTTGTGACTTGTGAGCATAAAGTCAATTTTGATCATAATTCCCAAGTTAATCAAAATGGGTACTTAAAATGTGGCAAAGATCAAACTATTACACTGAACTAAAGTGGCTACTTGATTGTGAGCCTAAAGGTCAAATTTTTTCAGATCCTATTTTTTGTTCTCAAGTCTGTTAAATTTGATCATACTTTGTTGTATTTTGACTTACTTGGTCTGGAGGTCTCGCTGCTGCTGCACATGGTTCTGAAGAATCCTGGAGTGGAGGAAGTGGTAGCTCTTGATCGTAGGGAGAGATCTGGACCGTTGGATGAGATTCTCAGGTTATGGAAGGATCTTGAGAAAGCAAGAAGGGAGGTTTGGTGAGATTGATGATTGCGAGAGAGGTTCCTTAGAGTTGTCATAGAGATCGATGCAGCAGCAGCAGAGGAAGCCATGATCGTAGACTTGCCTGTGTTGACTAACTCTACTACACACTTATACAGAGAGAAACTGTGTTTTTTATTTTTTTAGTGTGAAGTTATGAAGAGACAGAGAGAGAGAGAGAGAGAGAGAGAGATGAGCTACTCTTTTGTAATGGATGTGCTTTTGATAGTGATGATAAATATGATTGAGGCATGTGCGTAGATCTAGGAAAGTGGATATCACCTTCAACTACAAATATTAAACACAAAAAAGACTTGCATTTTAACTAGACTTGTTGTTTAAATTAAATGAGAATTGATCGATTAACGACTTTATACTGTAAATTGATAAAAGAAAGACTTGGAACCAACATGTGGAACATATTCAGATCTGAAAGACTGAAACAGATATATGATTGTGCAGTGCATTAAAGAAACGTATCATACTAATTTTATTAGGTGTCAAAAGGGAATGCACCATGTGGAAAATGCGGTTAAAACTTTAGGAAAATCAGATACCAACAAAATGATTAGACAAAGCCGACAAATGCATATGATTCTTTGTTACTCAATCTGTATTTCTGTTTTATGTATATCAATTATGCTTTCTACAAATCATGTTTAAGGAGAGCCGCTTTGATCAGAAGTTTCTTTGCTTTGAAATGACAATTTAGAAAGCAGCATTGTCTCTGCATAATTTTATGACTTCTAAAATTTTATCTTGTTAGTATGTTCTTGAATTATATATGATCGGTGTGACAAAAGTCTTTTTTTGAAGCTATTCTCGTTCGATGTGTGTTTGGTTGCAAACTAGGATACGAGTCGAATGAACAAAGTTGAATAGATAGAAAGAATCATACAAAACTGTATTTGACAAAGATGGAAACAGAAATGACCAAAATGTGAATGGTTTAGCTTCAGCAAATGGTAAGAATCTCAGAACCAGTTCTAGTAATCAAAATCGTATGCTCACACTGTGCAGCGACACCACCATCAGCTGTCAGAGTCGTCCAGTTGTCTGGCCATGTTACACATTCCGTCGTTCCTATCGTCAGAATCGGTTCTGCAACGTAATTGCATCCATCGGTTTACTCATTATACAGTAATCACAATAGCAAATGTAAAGCCATTAAACTGAATAGTAGAAAAAAATGACTAACCGATTGTGAAAGTTTGTCCTTCAACCATAAGTCCAGGCTCATCATTTCCTGCAAATCCAAGTATTGCTTTTTCGGTTACATGTTACATTACAGAGAATAAAGCTGCTAAGAGAAGATATCACTCACGGTGATGATATATAAGTGGTTCGGAGTGGAACACTGGCCCAACACCATGCCCTACAAAGCGTTCCACAACGTTGTAGCCAAACTTCTCCGCATGCTCACTGTTTTTAAATGTAAAAAACCATTGAAATTGTTTGGTCTAGCAATTTCCATGAATCAAAAAATGGTTTCTTGGTTAACTACCTGATTCTCTTGCCGACTTTCTTGAAGCTTGCTCCATCTTTACATACAGCTATACCTTTCTCCAAGCATTCTTCCGTAACCTTAACACAACAACAAAAATATCAGCAACACTTAAAAGCAGAATCCAATTACATATAGACAACACGGCACAGAAGGAGATATCGTAGTACCCTCTTACCTTCACAAGTTTCTTAAAACCTTCATCCACATCTCCACAGAAGAAAGTTCTCAACGTATCTCCATGGTAACCCTGTTCAAGTTTTCAAACCCCCAAAACGTATTAACCAATCTTTAACCATACAAATCAAACATAGTAGAAGCAAAAGTGTCCGCAGAGACTTACATCCAAGTAAACCGTGACATCAATGTTTATAATATCACCATTCTGCATTAACAAGGTAAATGATTGTTAGTGATGAAGCATCTTAAACCAGTGAAACAAAAGAAAAAAGCACAAAATCCAAACCTGAAGCTGGCGAGAATCTGGTATGCCATGACACATACACTCATTAACAGATGTACAAACACTTTTAGGGAATCCACCATATCCAAGAGGTGAAGGATAAGCACCAGCTTCAATGATCATATCGTGCACCGCTTTGTCGATCTCATTAGTCGTTACAGATGGCTACACAAACATCAACAACAACAACTACTCAATCAGTCCATATATGCAAACAAAGAGAGATCTCACAAAGGAGGTTCAAAGGAAGAATCTTTTTTACTTTAACCAAAGTTCCTGCAAAGTTTAGAACACGAGCAGCGAGCTCGCAAGCAGCTTTCATTTTCACAAGGCCCTCAGAGTCAGGAATCTGGAATTCACTTGATATATCTGGTAACACGCCGGATTCAACATACGGAGGTCTTGGTATGTGGTCGGGAACAAGAAGACGAGGTGATACTCTTCCTCGTCTTAGTGGTGGATTTCTTCTGACTTTTGATTTAGTTTCAAGCTCTCTCATCCTAGGAAATATAACGTAAACGTATTGATGTCAAACAGATATGAAGATTTTGACAAAATCTTGAATTTTCCAGATAAATGTTAGCAATTATTCAAGAATTTGCATTTTACTCAAAAAACAAGAGAGTGGAAGAGAGCTTAATTACCTTCTGATTCTAATGGCTTCCTCCAATCCAGAAACTTTCTTGGCAGAAACTTGAAATTTTTTAGGAGAATATGAATTGGTCTTACCTGCAGATAAGAGAGCAAATAAAACTTCATACACAGAATTTCTTCAGTTTTAACATTCGAATTGGAACAACTGAGAAATTTTATCGCTTTTGAGCAGAAACACAAAAATTTCAATCAGATTAACCAACAATTACTTCTTATCTCGAAATTTTCTGGTAGCTGAACACGAAACGAACAGAGTAAAAAACAATTAACAGTGATAAGAAAATGACAAACCGGAGAGTGATAAAGAAGAAGTAGTAGTGACCGGAGCTCCGATAAAGCACCTCGATGGCGCTAAGTAGTCGCCGTTGAAGGAAGAACAGAGTTGCAGAGACGACGATGGCGAGAAACTGGATAGAAAAGCCGTAGACGCCATTTTCGCAACTTCACTGCTGCTAGCTAAACCCCGAATGAAATAACAAATTTGCAACGAATCATTGTTTCTTTGAGGAAAAAAAATATATATTAATAATATCTTATCGAGATAACTTACTATTAGACTAAGCCCATCGGGCCTATGATCGATCCATTATGAAAATAAATAAAAAACGAAATATCTCAAGTGATTTTTTATGAAATTAGATGAATATTGAAAAAGTGCCACTCCATGTCCTAAGATTGAGTTTGAAGCAGCCTAAAAAACAAATTTTGGAAGACAAAATTATTTGACAAAAAAAACTTACATAGACATATGACGAGGCTATGTCAGGATATTGATAAATGAATACAAGTGAAGCAGTGATATGCACAAATCATCAAACATATACACCTCAATCATCATGATAGATTGGATCATTTGCACCCAGCGAAAAAAATATAGGATGGATTGTTGGTTCGTTTCGTTTGAAACCAAACCAAAATAACACGTTCGAGTTAAAGAAAAGTTCAACTGAACAATTTGTCCATGAGTTATGGTTTGGTTTAAATTGGTTTGAGTTTGGTTCGCTTTGATTAAAATGCTTATCTCTAGACTTAAGTACCTACATGCATTCTACTTAAATCATCATATATGTTATTATTTTGACTCGTACCGATATACCACTAGTCAAAAACAAAGTGCAACTCATCCCTAAACAATTTTGTAAGAAACATTATTCAAAATTCTGAAATGTTCTTCGTTTTACTGTTCATGTTCGTTCGAAATTAGCTATACTGAGTAAGTTCGTCGATACATGTGATAATTGAGAAATGCAAAAAAAAAAATAAAAAAAAAAATCAACTACACCTATTATTCAACAATCTCTACCAAAAAAAATATCTGAAACTTCAGAGCCGGCCAGTATAGCAACTACGAGATGTGTGCATTGATTTTTATAATATATGTTTCTCTTGTTATTGGATTGGAATTGATAACAAATTAATTTTATTTTATTTTTAATTGAAGGAATTAATAATATCATGATCATATGGATTTAGAATCAGCAAACTGGTGTTATCTTGCAGTTATAAAAATAAAAGATATTTGTTGGAAACTTATGTCCTAACAACACCTCATATATTGGTATCACTTTCTTAACTACTACGTACACGACCCTTGTTAGAACATTGGTAACATATTATCATCCAGAGTGTCCTCTCCTTCCTCGTATGAATATCACCAAATGCCATAAGCAGTAGCTATTGCACACATATATAACGATAACATCTACATACGCATGACATTAAAAGAAACAACGCTAAATTTGGTTAAAACATTCTCATGATATTAAAACTCTCTCGAGACATCAAACTTAATCACTGTTTTAAATCCTATATATAAAAATATACAGTTCATCATTACAACAAAAACAAACCTTTGGTAATAAGAAGAAACTGATGCAAATGAAATAGAAAATCCAAAGTGGAATTAAGAAAAATAAAAATTACTAAAGACAAAAAAAAGAAGAAGAGTTGTTACGAGGCGTGAAAGATGCGTTGCTTCTTACTACACACCAACGATAACATCTCAGTATCGTTCACTCTCTTGTTCCCCACGACGTCGTTTCTCGAACTCTCCGGCGAAATGTTAACCCCGAACAACCTCAAAACCCGACCCGTTTCCGAACCCGATCCGGATCTCGACTTCCACCCAATGTACAACTGCTGATCCTGACCGTCCGATCTACTAAAACTGACCACGTCACCAGCACGTAGATTCTTCTCCTTAACGAACCGGCTCCAACCTTTGGTCAACACATAGCTTTGACTACTGTTCCAATACGAGTAACGGAACCTCCACACTTTCCCCGTCACGTCCTCGAAGTTCAACAGCACTCCTTTAACGGAGACGTTACTCGACGGCAACGGAAAATGTTTCTCCGCGTGGTGCTTCGGTATCACCAGACGGTTCAGCTTCCCGACGTCGCTCGGCGTAACCGCTTTCTCGAACAGAGACTCCGCCGCTCGAAACTCCGTCGTCGAAACGCCGTCGCTGTCCAACGACGCCGTCATCGTCCTCGCCGCGTTTCCGTTTCCGTTACGGCGGCGTTTGCTCTGCTCGAGCTCCTCGCTGTACGTGTGCTTCCTCAGCATGTCGACGATCTCGGACTTCGAATGCGAGTTCAAGAAATCGATCTCTCCGTCGTCGAGCCTCGCGTCTTTGAAATTCGTGACGGCCTCGCGGCCGCGGAACCTGTGAACCGCCACGTCGTAGGCACGCGCCGCCTCGTCTTCCTCGTTGAAAGTCCCGAGCCACACGCGCTGGTGCTTCTCGTAAATCTGAGCTCCCCACCTTCCGTTCGGCTGCGGCACGACGCCTTTGTACTTGGACGACGGCAGCTTCCTCGACTCCGCCTCCACGCCGTTCTCCGAGTCTAACACCACGCTAGATCCGCTTCCCATCCTGTAGAGATTAACCGACGACTTTCCCGACGGTTTCGCCGGAGTTGTCATCGCCGGAGTTTCGCAAACCGAGCCTGTACTAGTCGTACTCTCGTCAACGCTACTCACTTCCATTGGTTATGATATTTGTTTGTTTTGGTTTTGAAGTTTTTTTTTTAATGGATTTGATTTTCAATTTTGAAACAATGGAGAAATGTAATTCAGATTTCAGAGAGAGTATGTTGTTTTTGTGTATAATATGTATGCGTGTATATATATAGAAAGTAGGAGAGTGCAGGGAGGGAAATAAGAAACAGCAAGTGTCACTTATGATATTACTTATTATTTTATTTTCACTTTTTATTTGGGTGAAACAATAATAAAAAATATATATCTGTAGAATGCGTGTTTCAGGGGAGTAATTATAGTATATGGGCAGGTGTATGGGAAGTGATATGGGTTTGTGAATGGCTCTATGTATGGGTCAACTCAAAACCCCAAAGGGAAGGTTCGTGGAAACATTTGCTAATATACTGAAAGAAAATAGGAAATTCGCATTTAATTTGGTTGCTAAATATTGAAAACATATGAGGAATACTCCTTTGGAATATTAATTAGATAAACAAAAAAAATATGAGCATATGAGCAAATATAGAAATGAATATGTTGTGGGCTGTGTGCATGGGGAAGTGGGTCCCACGTATGGACCAGGATTGGATAAAGGGTCCACGTGAGAAATTGACATCATTTTACTGAAATTCATCCCCCCTGAGTTTTGATGCTTTTTTTTTTTTACTAAATAACTATAAGAAAAAAAATATTAACAAAGTATTAGATTTGATTACCATGTTAAGATTCTCTTGATGCTAACTGTAGTCTCTCTTTTAGTTTTTTTTCCTCTCCAAATCTGATTGTTATTCCTCAATCTTCGAATGATGAAGTATTTCTATTACAAATAGTTATATCAGTCGATGGTACGTATATAACTTCTTTATTCTCTGTATTAGGATTCATTTTACATTTTTAGATGTTTTAATTCTTCTTTATTTCGTCAATCTTATCCTGCGTTTCCTTTTATAGAAGAAAATTTGTCTATTGCTATTTGCTAATGCTATCATGATTATCGTCAGTATATGCACTCGATAAATTCCAAATTCAGAAAACAATCGAGTTTTCTTCTCTCTTTTATTTTGTTTTTAAGTATCTCATATCTTCATAGTTTATTCTCATAAATGAATGTATGGAATACGCTTTTAAATGTGAATACTTCTTATATATCAATATTCAATGTTAAACCAACGACCGACAACATCACAAATATAGATACCGGTTAAAATTAATCCAGTTAAATTCGCTGCTTTCATTGTGATTTTACACTAAAAAAAACTAATACTTGTGTGATTTAATAAATTAATACCATAAATACGCATGCATTATATAATATGGTTTTGGAAATAATAAGCAAGTGATGTACATAGCTTACGATCTTATCTGATATTTTTGTTGCTTTACCAAAGTATTATTCTACCATTAGTTAGGTTTCGTTTTTATGCAAAGAACCAATTAAAGCACTGCGAAATATCGTGAGATCCAAATTTTATTGGTCATCCCTTCTCCAATAGCAGAATTGTTGACATTTATACATATCCTATTTAAAAATCTATTTATTGATTTGCCTGTTTCTATTTGAATTTTTGTTGTTACTATTATTACAATATACTATATTCAATTTGATCCACTAGGATGGGAAGTGGGCCAATGACAAATCACTATGAGGCATGGTCGTACGTGTTTTGTGTGGATGAATAATAATATGGGCGTTTCTTGACAGCTGGACAATTACTTTTTTCTTTTCTTTTTTCCATTTCTGAGTTTCGTTTTGTTATTTTATTTTGTTTGGTTTGAACAATTAAAGAGATATTTCTCAAAATGTAACTCGATAGTACAACATAGTAGGATCGGTCCGGCCGGAGTTTCATAAATCCGGTGGCTAGTTATTGGTGTAACCTAATAACCTATGTTCTTTACATTTATAGACTCTAATAATTTAACTTTTGAGAGCCGCCTAGTTCCTAAACCGCCTAGGTGCAATTAGTTTTAGAGTTTCCATTAAAATCCCTTAATTTGATGCTCTGTTAAAAATCAGCGCGCCGTAATCTTTTGACCTAGACCAAAGAAGGTCGAGTTTTAGAAAATCACTATCAACATATTTTTCAAATTCGATCCGACTTCTCTGTGTATGTAAATTATAAGTGGTTCTAAATGAGTATGGGACAAAATAAAGGAAAATATATGAGGTGGTTGAATTTTCCTATAGAAATTTTTGAGTATGTTGTCACGTGGCACTTGTAGCTCTCTTGGCAATTTTTTTGTTGGTCGAATTCTCACTTAGCTTTCTGTTCTTATAGAATTTGTCTCCGTAAGAGAGATTGGGCTCATCTGTGTTTCTTGTTGCGATTCTAAGTATTTGAGATCCAAAATGATTTTGAAAGTGATAGACGATTTGTTAAATTCTAGCCTATGGTAATTATCAAAGAGGCGCGTTTTTTACCATCACGATTTCATTGCTATATATCT